GAGGGAAAAAATGCTTTCATCTGGTTACATAACTGCTCCAGAGGGGTGATCAAAGTCACGCTAATTGGCAAAAATTTAAGTAATTATCACACAAAATGATGATAATGTCAGTTTCTCTGGTCATAGGAGGGTGTGTGTCAGGGGAACTGAGGATTAGTTTGCTCATTACAGAAAAATTGCACCGTAACAGGCTGTTAGTGCGCTAAAGTTAGCTAGCATGCTGTTAGCATGCGGATTTGATTTTAGGAACTAGCAAATGACTCTTTGCAAAAGCAAACTTCAAACTCTAAACTTAACTTAATAAACAGTGGATCCACAGCCCCAAATGTTCAAAAGTCCTAGAAATGACAAAGAATTCTGGGAAAATAAATCAGAGGAAAAGGATTTGGGCTCAGAAAGAAGCAATCAGGAGTTAAATCTGGATGTTTTTATTCAGGATTAGCTTTATCAAAGATATTCTTTTTTCAATAAATCTGCTGTAATTTAGTGTTAATGGATACTTTTGAAAGCAGTGCAGAGTTATTTCTCCATTTTCCTCCATCTTGTTTTTAGAGGGAAAACTATCATTACCTGGTTCAGGTATTGATAGTTACCTGAGTACCAAAATCTCAGGATTTTGAATCTGTACATGTAGAATTATATGTGATATATAGCTTATTTATAACTGCCCATCACAGATTTTAGACACGTTTATTGTGTTTTTTTGCTCAGACATTCAGCAGTGATTTCGTTTTTCTTTTGTGCTGACTCAGCATTTCTGGAGTTTTTTCCCTCGTGGGGAGAAATCAAAGAACTCCTCTTATCCTCCCCCGGCGGCTTTAGACTTTTCTCATCTTATCTGATCTTATCTGATCTTATCTGATCTTAGGCTGTCCACTTCATGGACCAATGAGGAGCCAGCAGGGCCTTCCTGCAGATTTCAGCACTTCTTCCACACTCCGTGCTTGTCGAGGCCATCAGAAACTAACCCAAAAACCTAATAAAAAAACTAAAAAACCCCCAAAACTCCCAACCAGACGTCTCCCAGTCAGCCTCAGGTATCTGTTGTCTCCATAACCAACCACACACACACCACGATAACCCTAACCCTAACCCTAACCCTAACCCTAACCCTAACCCTAACCACACACACCATGTTATCCAGACCAGACTGGATCTCTGTCTCTTCAATTCAATCAATATTAATATTCAATTCAATCAAAGGAAGCAAGAAACTTGGGTGTCCTGGTTGACCAGCTAACCCTAACCCCTAACCCCAACCCCTAACCCTAACCCCTAACCTTAACCCCTAACGCTAACCCCTAACCCCTAACCCT